GAGAGATATACCATGTTCGTTGATTGGAAGAATCAACATTGTGAAAATGACTCTACTACCCAAAGCAATCTACAGATTCAATGCAATCCCTATCAAACTACCACTGGCATTTTTCACAGAACTAGAACAAAAAATTTCACAATATGTATGGAAACACAAAAGACCCCGAATAGCCAAAGCAATCTTGAGAATGAAAAACGGAGCTGGAGGAATCAGGCTCCCTGACTTCAGATTATACTACAGAGCTACAGTAATCAAGACAGTAATGTACTGGCACAAAAACAGAAAGATAGATCAATGGAACAGGATAGAAAGCACAGAGACCTCCCACATATGGTCACCTTATCTTTGATAAAGGAGGCAGGAATATACAGTGGAGAAAGGACAGCCTCTTCAATAAGTGCCGCTGGGAAAACTGGACAGGTACATGTAAAAGTATGAGATTAGATCACTCCCCAACACCATACACAAAAATAAGCTCAAAATGGATGAAAGACCTAAATGTAAGGTCAGAAACTAGCAAACTCTTAGAGGAAAACATAGGCAGAACACTCTATGACATAAATCACAGCAAGATCCTTTTTGACCCACCTCCTAGATAAATGGAAATAAAAACAAAAATAAACAACTGGGACCTAATGAAACTTCAAAGCTTTTGCACACAAAGGAAACCATAAATAAGACCAAAAGACAACCCTCAGAATGGGAGCAAATATTTGCAAATGAAGCAACTGACAAAGGATTAATCTCCAAAATTTATAAGCAGCTCATGCAGCTCAATAACAAAAAAACAAAGAACCCAATCCAAAAATGGGCAGAAGACCTAAATAGACATTTCTCCAAAGAAGATATACAGACTGCCAACAAGCACATGAAAGAATGCTCAACATCATTAATCATTAGAGAAATGGAAATCAAAACTACAATGAGATATCATCTCACACCAATCAGAATGGCCATCATCAAAAAATCTAGAAAAAATAAATGCTGGAGATGGTTTGGAGGAAAGGGAACACTCTTGCACTGCTGGTGGGAATGTGAATTGGTACAGCCACTATGGAGAACAGTATGGAGGTTCCTTAAAAATCTACAAATAGAACTACCATATGACCACGCAATCCCACTACTGGGCATATACCCTGAGAAAACCATAATTCAGAAAGAGTCATGTACCAAAATGTTCATTGCAGCTGCATTTACAATAGCCCAGAGATGGAAACAACCTAAGTGTCCATCATCAGATGAATGGATAAAGAAGATGTGGCACATATATACAATGGAATATTAGCCATAAAAAGAAACGAAATTGATCTATTTGTAATGAGGTGGATGGACCTAGAGTCTGTCATACAGAGTGAAGTAAGTCAGAAAGAGAAAGACAAATACCGTATGCTAACACATATATATGGAGTTTAAGGGGAAAAAAATGTCATGAAGAACCTAGGGGTAAGACAGTAATAAAGACACAGACCTACTAGAGAATGGACTTGAGGATATAGCGAGGGGGAAGGGTAAGCTGTGACAAAGCGAGAGAGTGGCATAGACATATATACACTACCAAACGTAAAATAGAAAGCTAGTGGGAAGCAGCCACATAGCACAGGGAGATCAGCTCAGTGCTTTGTGACCACCTAGAGGGGTGGGATAGGGAGAGTGGGAGGGAGGGAGATGCAAAAGGGAGGAGATATGGGAACATATGTATATGTATAACTGAATCACTTTGTTATAAAGCAGAAACTAACACACCATTGTAAAGCAGTTATACTCCAATAACGATGTAAAAAAGAAAATAGGTTGTTCTGAATAACACTACTTAAATCAGTTCTCTACAATATGCTGAGGGCAATGTAACCTGGAGCCCAGACAGGAAGGACACCATTTATGTATCTCCCCTTCCAACCTGGAAAAGATGACTATCCCAAAACCTGTGATCCTGAAAGGCCTCTGTACCCAAAGAAGGGAAGATGCCATTGCAAGGAGAATCCCCCTGAGTTCATGAGGACACCCCCTCAGGCAGATATGGGCAGTCACATATCATGCTTTCCTCCAGAGAGGAACAGAAATCCTGGGACTCCTTCTGAAGTGTGTGGACTCAAAAAGGCTGAGCTTCCCCCTCACACCTGTGGATCTGGCCTCCTCTTCCCACCAAACTGATACCTTGAAGGATTGAGAAGCAAATTATGCTTTCTCATAATTTTGGTCCTCCAAAAGATTAAAATTACTAGGAATTTGAATGGAGTCAGCAAGTCTCCCTGATCCTATAAAATGTTTGATGATTTTTACTATTGTGTGTCAGTACCTACACAAGAAAGAAATGCAAGATAATGACAGATATTACTATAATACATTTTCGTTTGTACTGGTAAATATAGATATGCATGGATCAATACTGGAAGATGTTAAATTTTTCTTCCCTCCTTCCTTTTATTCACCCTTCCTCCCTATCTCCCTTCCTTTCTTCTTTCCTTTCTTCCTTCATCTTCTGTTTTAATAGCAAGGTCTTAGTTTGTCATGAAAATCCTCTCTAAACAATTGTGTGAAGGAAAAGTTCCATTTGGCAGGAAGAGTTCAGGTACAGTTGGAATATGGCAATGAAAGGGACCCCTCAGAACATTCCCTGTGACCTTGACATTTACCCTTGAGGGAACTGAAACCTGGACATGGTCACAGATTTGCACAAGGTCCTTAGCCACTTGGGGGAAGATTGACGCAGGTACTGACACAAGGATTTGGGAGCACGTAGTTGGTCTGGAGGTGATCCCTGAGGCATAGTCAAAGAGTAAGGAATTGAGACAGATAAGGGAGCAGAGACAACAGGGGTGTGCCCATGAGTGGGTTACCACTGTGGCCAGCCGGGGCCCAGTCCCACTTCAGACCCTTTGAAGTCCTCACAGGGCATACTTCAGAACTGTCCCACCAAAGGGCAAGGGAACTGAGGTGTTTTCACCAACATTTTCCCTCTCTGTTTGAGAATGTTCCTGAAAGTGCCAACTAGTCAGCACCTTGGCTGGTGCTGCACTGGTCCAGCCTGCTCCTGGGGCAGGGGAAAGCTCAAGGCTGAGAGGGATTTATGGGGACCATTGCTGAAGCTGCCTGTAACTTTGGTGGTGGGTCCAGGGATTTGGACATCAATGGTGTCTGCTACAGAGACTGACAAGGATGGTTCTTTCCATGCATCAGTCTTGTAAAATCCTTTATTATTGCCTGACGCTGGCTTGCTATGATGCTTGCATTTGGTTTCTGTAGTTTTGGAAACACTTCTATCAGCCCACGTGGAAGTCTCTGCTGTGCTCTTATTCCAGTATCTATGATTGTGAAAAGAACACAACAAAACTCCCAGCTGAAAGATCATAAAAAAGAAGAGCTTATTCTGAGCAGCCTTTGCCTCTTACTAGCCTTGAACACCACCTCTAGCCTCCTGAAATCAACCTGACCACAATTTCTCATCCACTTCCATGTAGGACTTCTGTGAGACAGGATATAATGTAGGTAAACGGCCTATATATATAGTGAGAGAGAGAGAGGAAAAGAGAGTGTGAGAGAGTGATACCAACTCAGGACACATTTACAAGAAGTAGAACATATATCTAGATGGATGCTTGGCCTGGGTCAGTGGGTCAGTATATCTATATGTATGTATCAATACCTCTATTTCTGTATCTATCTACCAACCCAGGCCAAGTTTCCATATCTATATGAATGTCTATATATACCTATATCTATATCAACTCAGGCCACATTTACAAGTGGAACATATATATATGGAAATTTGGCCTGGATCAATACACACATCTATATCTATAGATCTATATACAGATTTCTCTATGTAGATATAGATATGATGCCACATTTACAAGAAATAGAACACAAATACTTGTTTTTTGGTATTCTGAGAGTCCATAAATATACATCACCACTTTAATGGAGGTATAGAGTGACTCCCCCACCCACTGTCCACATGGATAGATGAGCTACAGTGAATTGATGGACAAAATGCTTGGATTCTGCCATATCCAATCATATTCCAATAACCAACACTGGCTTTGTGTTCCTTATGCTAAACATTCAGCTCTTGAAAAATATTCAGGAGTTTGGCTTTTATAGGCACAAAATATAGAGACATTTGACCCAAAGTAACGTGAATAATTTAAAATAGTTTAAATAAGTAAAGAATCTTGAAAAAGATCAGTTTAAAGTGTGTATCATGAAAATAAGGATTTATATATATGAAGTTTCAAACTGCCTTTTTGTGACGTGGTAATGTGTATTTGTGCAGAGATACTCTGCCTTCATGATGTAAGATAAATTAATATTCTAGGGGTAACTAAATGAACAAATGCAGAATCCTTTGCCAGGACCCAGCCTAGCCAAGAGCTCGGAAGTGTCTTCCAGTCAGATGTAGAAGTGTGCATTGTCCTCCCACCCCTGCAGGACCACTCGTGACCACCCACACTCCCTGTGCAGCTGGAGAAGTGAGCCAGTCACACTAGAGAGAAATGTCTGACTCAGGTGCACCTCACTTTGGAACAAAACACTCCATCCCCTTCTTATTATTTTAAAATAAATTTATTTATTTATTTGTGGCTGCATTGGGTCTTCGTTGTTGTGCGCGGGCTTTCTTTAGTTGCAGCCAGCTGGGGTTACTCTACATTGCAGTGCGTGGGCTTCTCATTCCGGTGGCCTTTCTTGTTGCGGAGTACATTTGCAGGCTCTAGGCATGCAGCCTTCAGTAGTTGTGGCTCACGGGCTCTAGAGCGCAGGCTCAGTAGTTGTGGCACATGGGCTTAGTTGCTCTGTGGCATGTGGGACCTTCCCAGATCAGGGCTCGAACCCGTGTCCCCTGCATTGGCAGGCGGATTCTTAATCACTGCGCCACCAGAGAAGTGCCCCCAGCCACTTCTCATGAAGTGAACATTTGGAGAAAACCCTACCTGGTGTCTTCCAGAGTCCCAGGCGAATCGTTGCATAGCCATTTTTTTGTTTGACAGGCAATAAATACTGGGTTGCTGATGTGGGTGTGATACTGTCCAGATACCCCAGGGACATCTACAGCTCCTTTGGCTTCCCTGGAAGGGTAAAGAACATCGACGCTGCCATTCATGAGGAGGAAACTGCAAAGACGTATTTCTTTGTCCCCAGTGAGTATTGGAGGTAAAGACAGACACTTGGAGCTCTTAGGGCATCAGATACCTCCTTAGTGGAAGGAGAGTTGCCTTTTAAAATTATTCTCAAATTGTGCTGAAACTCCATCCTCCTTCTGTGAATGGGTGCAGCCAGGCTGAGTGTCACTTAGTCCCCTGCCTGTTTTCATCACACCGTGCCTGTCCTTGGAGGGCAAGGGACTTGAAGGATTGAGTTCAAAAAGGAGATTTTTTAAAAGGATGGAGGCTGAGATAAAATTTGAATCAGATTTTTAGAGCTGATGCCTCTTTAGGGATGGTCTAGTCTGTCTGAGTCTCCCATAACCCTATTGAAACAGGACCCTTTCCAGTTAAAAGTTCCTATTAATTTATACCAATGATGCATCCACCCACAATTGTTTTAAGCAGCCTTTGGATTTCAGCAAAGTGGAGATAAAGATAGCATCTACCTCCCAGATTTGTTGTGAAGATTAAATGAATCAGTACACTCAAAGCACTTAGAACAGTGACTGGCACATGAAAAGTTCTTTGTGAATGCTAAGTGTTATTTTTTGTTATTGTATTTATCACACATTTCAATAATTTTTTTTAACCAGGTATGATGAAAACACGCAGTCCACAGATGCAGGTTATTCCAAAGAGATAATTCATGACTTCCCTGGAATTGGCAAAAAAGTTGATGTTGTTTTCCAAGATAGAGGTAAAGGCTATCCAGTTTCTCCATTTTGTTACCATTGACATAGCATATGTGCTGTTACTTAGATATGAAAGTAAATTGCATTCATGGAAACTTGTATTTTTTTTCAAGTGTTCATGTGGAAAACACTATTTGTCTAACATGATCATTATCTTTCATTTTATTTCCAGGATTTTTCCATTTCTTTCATGGAAAAGGGCACTACAAATCTGATCCTAAAACTAAGCAAATTTTGGCCTCCCGAATACTAACAGCAGGTTCAAGTGCAGAAATAACTGATGGTTGACTCTCACAAAGGAGTTGGAGAAAACATTTCTACTCAGCCCAAAGAAGATGTTTTTCTGAGAAACCAGGTATTTCAGTATTTTATTTGAATCTCTAGGTAATAACAAGGCACAGACATATAAGTACAACCTTATTTAACCTCAGTCTGGACATATTGTATGTTAACTATGTTGTACTGCTTCATGAACTTACACAATTTAGCTTTAAGTGAGTGCTGAGGATGTCAAGGTCATAGTTCACCTTTAGGTTTTCATAGAGAAAAGCTTTTTACCAATATTCTATGATATTTTCAGTAATTACATTTCTCCTAGTAACCACATTCTCAAATATTTTGTCTCTAGGTTAGGCATACTCACAATGCAAGTGTGTGGGAAAATATTTAGGATGTATAGAATTTCAAGCACTCACCCTTCTCATGGAATATGCAGAACATAAGGGAAGGAAGACTAGTTATTGATCCTACTCACTTATTTTAACTTCAAATTAAGCCTTAAGTCAAATAAAGGAAGGAATTTATTGAGCTTTGGTTAGGGGTTCTGGAGGGAGCACTGGATTAGGTGGTTTTATGTGTTCCCTCAGTTCCATTTTGGGGAGGTATCTCCAATTTCTCAGTGAGAAAAGTCAGAGATTGATGCCAGCACAACTCTGCACCCTCACTTTTACTGCATAACTATGAGTAAACTGCTTAGATTTCTCAGCTATTCTCCTAGCTATCTTCATAAAGTTAGCTCTTATCCCTGAATATTATTGTTGGGTCTTGTTCCCCTGGTAGTTTTCCTTACAGGACACTCTGAGTGCACTTCACGTTACATTTTGCAGGTGTAAATTTGCAGAAGTTAACTACTGCTGCTGAAAAAATATCAGTACTACACAGATTGTCTTTTTTGCTCATTCAGTCAGATTATTTACCATAGGTTTCCTGTGGTGCTCTGTGATTAACAGTGCCTCAATTTTATAGCAAATTATTTGTACAATGTTTATTTTCAAATATTTTTTTCTGTTTACCAACATAATAAATACATGCTCAGAAATTTTGAGCAAGTTGCCAATCCCACTGTGGCTCCTTCCTCTGAACCAAAGCCAAGAAGTACAGGGGACTTCTAGTACAGGAAATACTAGAACCAGATACAAACAGTGAGAAAACTGTGAGTAAGCAGATAGACCCAACCAGCATGGGGGAGGAAATATCCTACAGGGGAGAGGCCCAAATGCCTCCAACTGGGGACAGGCTTTGGGAAGCACACTCTACTCGTGTCCTTTCTTCTCACATGTTGCTCTAGGTCCCGTGTCTGTATGGCAGGCCTGGAAGGCAGCAGGACAAGCAAGTAACAAGGGGATAACGTCAGGGCAGTGACCCAATTTCATTCACAGACAAAGCTCAAGTCCCCACTATGATCTACAAGGTCCTACATGCCCTTTCCCCATTACATGCACACCTTCACCTCATTCTCTAATATTCTCCCCCTTGTTTACTCCATTCCAGCTGCATGGACTTCCTTGCTATTTTTTAACATGTGAGGTATATCCATACCTTGGTGCCTTTTCACTGGAATTCTCTTCCCTCAGGTATCTTCATGGATGACTCCCTCACTTATTTCTCAACTCTGTTGAAATGTAGCCTTCTCAGTGAGGCCTTTGCTGGTTTACTCTTTTTAATATTACAACCTACACCACCCCTCCACACAAACATACACATATTCCCAATAGTCCTATACAGCCCTACAATTTTATTTTCCATATCTCTTATCACCTTCTAGCATACTATATAACTTAATCACTTATTATATCTACTGTTTATTGCCTGTTTTTCCTGCTATAATGGAAGTTCCATAAGAGGAAGGGCCATTGTTATGTTAACAAAAATGTTTTGTTTGATTTGGCTTTAGCATGTTTGTTTGTTTCACTGATATAACTCAAGAACTAAGTAGGTGCTCAATAAAACATTTTAATAAATGTGTGCCGAATTGATGCTGGACGCCAGCAAAGCTGGGAAGTCAATAACAAAGTATATAGTCAGCTTGACCAACTCCTGAAGGACTCTTCTTTCTGTCCTTCCCAGCCAAGACAGTAGAGAATTACAAACATGGCAGCAGCCCCCAGAATGCTTAGAAGCTGAAAGAGAATTTCTGTGTGGTCCCTCATGGGAGGATCCATTGATGAGAGTGAGAGGTGAGAGTAACTTGGCGCAGACTTTATCACCAAACACCGTGTCCTGAGATGCTTCAATTCCATCCTAGTCCCCAAACTGGCAAAGAGAACAAGCCAGGATCCAGGTTTTAACTCATCTAAAGAGGCCAGGGAAACTACAGTCCCATGGAAACTTGAAATCACAGGAGAAATATGAACTTGGAGTACATATATATGTCATTTCATCCAGAATATGTAAAAAGGTCCTACCAACTGTTAATAAAATGACAAATAGGCCAGTTAAAAATGCACAGAGGTATTAAATTGGATTCTTCACAAAGAAAGACATATAAATGATCAATAAACACATGAAAATGTACTTACCATCATTAGTTATCAAGAAAATAAAATTCTCATAAGGTACTACTATAAAACCACTAAAATAATTAATATTAGTAAGACTGACAACACCAAATGTTGATGAGAAGCCAAAACATCTACAGCCCTCATACAATATGGAAATTGCTCACAAAGTTAATTATGTACTAAACTTATGACCTTTTCTACATATTTTCCCAAGCTCAATGAGCACATAATACACAAAAACCTTGTTCAAGAATGTTCATAACAGCTTTATTCATGATAGCCCAAGTCTGGAAACAGAGGTATATTCATACAATAGAATATTACATAAAAATGAATATTACATAGAAAGGAAAGTGAATGACCTTCTACTACTGGCACACCTCATTTTATTGCACTTTGCAGATATTGTGTTTTTTACAAATTGAAGGTTTCTTATAACCCTGCATCAAGCAAGTCTATTGCCACCATATTCCCAAGAGCATTTGCTAACTTTGTGTCACTGTGTAACATAATTCTCATAATATTTCAAACTTTTAAAGTATTATTATATGCATTATGTGATCTGTGATCTCTGATGTTACTATTGTAATTGTTTTGGAGCACCACAAACCACACACATATAAGATGGCAAGCTTAATTGATAAATGTTTTGTGTATTCTGACTGCTCCAATGACACGCTGTTCCCCATCTCCCCATCTTCTCTGGCCTCTCTATTCTCTTAGACACAACAATATTGAAATTAGGCCAGTTAATAACCCTACAATGTCCTCTAAGTGTTCAAGTTGCACATCTCTCACTTCAAATAAAAAGCTAGAAATGATTCAGCTTAGTGAAGAAGGCATATCAAAAGCTGAGTTAGGCGAAAAGCTAGGCCTTTTGTGCCAAAAGTTTAGCCAAGTTGTGAATGCAAAAGAAAAGCTCTTGAAGGAGAGTAAAAGTGCTACTCCAGTGAACACAAAAATGATAAGAAAGCAAAACTTCTTTATTCTACTATCATCATATGGCACATGTGGGGAAACTTTAGTCACTTTCCTATTAATACTGGGAATAAGGGAAGGATGCCTACTATCACTGATATTTGTTCAACATAGTCCTGGAACTCTGGCCAAAAATTGACAAGAAAAATAATAATGGATATAGAGATTAAAAGGGAAGAGTCCAAATTACCATTATTTTCAGATAATTAGGTCATTTACGTAGAGAAACCCAAAAGAATCAAAACCCTTTAGACAGAAGAGAAATTTTAATATTTCCAAATATAACATTAACATATCATAATCATTTATATTCCTATATACTCACAATAAAAAGTTGGTAAAATATAGAAAATAAAACACTAATGGCTACAGTAAAATCTACAATCTACCTAGGAAATAATCTAGCAAAAATAGACCTTAACCTTAATAACTAAAATTTTAAGAGCTATTAGAGATATATAAGAAAAACTGAATACCATATTCATGAATGAATGATCTAAAGAGATGAAATACTTTAAAGATGATCTTTTCCCAAAATTAATTTATAAATGTAATGAAACTTCAATTCAATCCAAACAGTATTATTTGGAAAACAAAAACACTGATTGTGAAGTTTTTATGAAGGAATAAATACACACAAAGAGCTAAGAATTTTGACAAAGCATAAAGAAAGAAAGAGTCCCACCAGACACTGACGTTCTCACAAAACCATTATAAAACTAATACAGGAGCACAGATAGAAGCTAATGGAACCAAATATGAGTCAAGAAACATATCCTTGGCATGATAGAGGAGGCATCACAAGTTAGAAGGTAAAGAATGAATAGTAAATAATGTTTGGAGAAAATTGGTATACTATATGGAAAAAATAAAGGTGGATTCTTTCTCCCGTTCGGTGTTCATGATTAATGCTCTTCACCATGTATTGGGTTGACCAAAATGTTCGTTTAGGTTTCCCAAACGTTTTGGTCAACACAATATTTCCAGCTCTCCACCTACTGGACACATGGAAGTATTACACTTCCTGGCTTACTGGCAGTGGGTGGGGCCACATGACTAGCTCGAGAGTGAATTGTGAGTGGTGGTGGCATGCGGCTCCTCTGGGCTGGAACATTTAATTGCCTGCACAGAACCCTTCAGACGTCTTTTTCCATCCAACATAACAACTGATAGAATTCAAAACTATGGCTTCTCCGGAAATCTGGGAAACAAGGTTACTACCATGAGAAGAGCCCCTCTGTCCAACCAGGATGGATGCATAGCATGAGCAAGAAGTAAACTTTTATTGCTTTAAGAAACATTAAAGAATTCAGAGCTTATAACCACAGAATAATTTAACCTATCCTCTTTGGTATAAACCACATACAATATTAAACTTTGAATGGATTTAAGATCTCAAAGTTAAAAACTATAAAAAATAAGTGAAAAAATCAATAGAGTATTTTTGTTACCTTAAGATGGAGAAGAATATCTCAAACAACACCAAAGAAAGCATAAACTATAAGAGGTAAATTGATAAGTTTGACTACATCAAAATTCAAAAATTATATTAAATGAGGGACATCAAAAACAA